ATAATACATACATATATATATATATATATATATATATATATATATATATATATATATATATATATATGTGTGTGTGTGTGTGTGTGTGTGTGTGTGTGTGTGTGTGTGTCTGTGTCTGTGTATATCAAAAAGGGAAACGGGGGACATTTCTTTATCAAAGTGTTTCGTACCCAGAGTAATTTGTAAAGGTAAATATGTATGTTTTTTTTTTTATTTTGTAATTGTGGTGGAGGCAAATATCGTTAAGTTTTCAAACGTTCAAAAATACTTAAAGCTTACTATATATGGCAAGTTAAAATATGTAGCATTTTAAGTCATCACATTTTTTTAATAATAATCGAAAATGGGTAAATATCGTTTTTATTGAAAATTTACTCTATGCTAATGTAATTATTATTTCATTTTTTGTTTACTTTTTCATGTATTTATTTATTTTACATATTTATATGTCTTGAATTAACTGTTTTCTAATATATATAGTAGGGGAAAACAAATATTTGTAAACAAACATTTTTAATTTATTGTACTTACAACTAATATACATATTTTTCATATAATTAACTGTACACAGATGCATAATAAATACATATGCATAAAAAAAAACAGAAAAAATTATTTAATAGGAAAAAAATAACATTTATCCATTTTTCTTTATTATGCATGTTTAATTATTATGCATCTATGTACAGTTAATTGTATGAAAAGTATGTTTTTATTAGTTGTAAATACAGCAAATTAAAAAAAAAGTATGTGCACGAATATTTGTTTCCCTCATTGTATGTATATATATATATATATATATATATATATATATGTGTGTGTGTGTGTGTATGTGCATATATATATATATATATGTGTGTGTGTGCGTGTGTGTGTGTGTGTTGTGTGATAAGTAACAAAAGGAATGAAATGAAGGAAGTGGGAATAAAATCTAAGTGCATTTCTATCAGATGAGTGCAAGTTTAGTGCACTAGTTTAACCTTTCTTTTCATAACAGAAATGCTATGATTTTATTTGCCTAGCTGTGGCATAATATTCTGACCTTAATCTATGTGCGGACTTTTGATGTAAGGGCAAACGCTGTAATCACTGCGTTTCCCAAAACAAATGCAGAGAATATTTACAATATCTCGAACGCATGCGCACAAATTGATCTGAATCGTCGCAGACGACCATTTCACACTTGGACGAATATACAACTGAATAAAGATCGGAGCAAACCAAAGAGACAAATTATGTAAAAAAAAAAAAGGGCTCCGTGCATATAAGTTTCTGTGTAAACATGCATACCTCTAAAATCAGAATGAAAATTTTACAAGCCTAAATAGATATATCTATTAAACTCCTTTCAATCGACTGAGGTCGATATATTCTTATTTTCTCTTTATATATATATATATATATATATATATATATATATATATATATATATTAGGCACCTCGAGGCAGTGTGTTGTTTTCCTGTTCTATATTTTTGTTGTAGAAATTAATTCAATTCATCTAAGAGCTTCAGTAATTAAACGTTTGCTAGATTATTCGAATCTCGCTTATAGTCATTCGTACAATAAGTACATCTTTACGCTTCATAATTTTGCAATTATTGGGATCTTGATATATTTTGAGACTTTTCAAATTCTTTCAATTTTGTCCTATCATCGGAATAAACATCAGTAACGTCATCTATTTGAACTTATTGACTTCACAATAATTATATCTGTTTTTGTTCGTTTATTTAGACTTTTCTGAATTTCAAGGCCATTTAAAATTTTACACTTTGTTTATGTCGCCATCGAGGACAGATTCTGGTTTGTGATTACGAGGTCTGTTAAAAAGTATCAGGTCAGTTGCTATGGTAACGAACCTAACGTATGCAGAGTGAAGCTGCTTGGCACATATTGACTTCGATCTCTGTCGAACATAAACACTAACTTATAACGTTCTCTCTCATACCCGTTTTTTATATAGTACTGCTTGGAATAAAGTCTATCGAGTGTCGTTGTCTTATCCCACCACAGAGGTTCCATCAGTGATCATGGCTTATGTAACATTTTTTTGGCCAAGGACAACATTCTCCAAGTCCAACAACTATACTATTCGTCAGATTCTGCTATATTTGCGATAATTTCTCTTCAAAAATCGAATTCCACTTAAAAAAAAAAACAAGATTTCAAAGCGCCAGGGGAATTTAAGGAAATCTGACCAGGCTGCTGATCGCTTAAATGTTCCAACAATGCTTTCATCAGTGGAAACGACTTTGGATAAAATGTGTGTCTTGAGAAGGGGACTACTTCGAAGGAGATTAAATACCAAATTAATATGTGTTGTAGTATTTTTTTTTATAACACCAGTCCCGATACTTTTTGAAAGACATCGTATATTTATGGCTTCTATGATTAAATCAAAGTCATAAAAAAAAACTTCGTACTTGATCACCATGTTTGGTAGTAAGGTTTTCAGGTACTCAACGCAATGCATTAAGTTATGATGATAAATGCTAATTAGATTATCTGATTAATTATTTAATTGAATTATCAGATTAGTCATTCTCGTTTTATATATTATTAGTCCTTATTGTGCTAAATTTCTGTGCGGAAATCACAGAATTATTTGTCCTAACTTGAAGATTTCGGTTATTTTGGTTAATATTCTTCAGTTATTCAGTAGGGAATATTAGAAAAAAATGACAAGGAATTAATTTATAGGTAGACAGAACTCCAGTAAAAAAATGTGGACATAGATCTGATTTAAATTAGTCAAAACGTAGACATAAGTTTTAACTAGAATAAACAAATATAGACATAGATCCGCCCTATAGAGAAATAAGTCGAAAAAGGCTTGCCGTACATGCTATTCAAATATGTAAACACATCTCCGTTTTGAACTTGAATAAAAAAATAGACATAAATCCGCTCTAGAGAGAAATAGGTCGAAATAGGCCTGCCTTTTATGTTAGTCAAAAATGTAAACACATATCCGTTTTAAACTAGAATAAAAAAAAATGGTAGACATAGATCAGCCCAACAAAGAAATAGGTCGAAATAGGTCAGCTGTACACGATATTCAAGTATGTAAACACATCTCAGTTTTACACTTGTATAAAAAAGGTAGATATAGATCAGCCCTACAGAGAAATGTCGAAATAGGCCTGCTGTACACGCTATTCAAATATCTAAACACATATCCGTTTTAAACTAGAATAAAAAAAAAGGTAGACAGATCCGCTCTACAGAGGTATAGGTCGAAATAGGCCTGCCTTGTACGCTAGTCAAAAATGTAAACACATCTCCATATTATACTAGAATAAAAAAACGTAGATAGGCTCAGTTTAAAGTAAAAATGGTAGGCATAGATCAGGCCTACACCAGAGTCCAAGAGCGAAAAACCGATCTACTTTACACTATAGTAAATAAGGTCGTCAAAGTCAGAGGTGTCAAAAAGATAACTACAGTTCCGGTTAAAAAAGGTAAACATATCTGTGCACTGACACTAGAATTCGAACGTTAGACGTAGGACCGATTACGTTCGGGTAAAATAGATAGACATAGATCCAGTTTACATTAGAGTAGACATAAGTCTGCTTTAAGCTAGGGCCCAGAAAGATAGGTATATATTTCGTTTACACTATCTTATACAAAGATAAGCTTACTTCCTGTTTATCTCTATCTATAAAAGGCAGGATGTGTGTGTGTGTGTGTGTGTGTGTGTGTGTGTAACGAATGCACGGCCGCAATTTTCGACGGATTTGCACCAAAATTTACATGCACATGCTCCAAGTTAGCGGAAAGGCCAAGACCGACATTGCATTTCCCAACTCCCATCGATAGTGGAAATAATCGATTTTTTCATGCTTCTACGGCAGTTTTCATGTAGTTTGCGGCTATTTTCTACTGGCCAGAGTGAGAGCCTATAGCTGGCTGCCACGAATAGGCAGGAAGATTCTATTGGCCAGCGTGAGAGCCAACAGCTGACTGACACGAATGTTAACTAGCATTCTAGCATGCAAAAAAAATCGATAGCTGCATTCGTCACAAGTGGGAAAAATTTAAATCTGCATGGCACTTTACTCCAACTGACTCATTCGCTTGCTTAAACTCAACGTTGATTCTGATTCCGCTGAACTGATTTGGGTGTGAAGAAATATTTGTTGTTAACATTCTTTTTTGTTACGAGTCCTTTTTTAAAGCTGATCGTTTTGTGTTCATTTTGTTTAGTTCTTTTTTCGTAACAGATTTAATGTTTAGTGTAGAGCTTAGAAAAAATTCGCACTGTGAGATAGGCAAGAAGTAAGGCATGTAGCAACATCAGCACGGCAAAGGGCACTCCTTTAAAGGCAAGGAAGTGATAGCGATTGCTGTATGAGTAGTACGATTTTTGAATCAACGCCGGGCCATGCTGCTGGTACTTGCATAAAAAGATTTACATTATACCCACATCTGCAAGCATATATCCAGAGGATGACCACGTTTTGGTGGGGAAATATCACTTTTAAAATAACTAAATTATTTTTTTTTGAGTTGGTCAACATTTATTAATAGGAATAATTAAACTTTTAATATAACAGCCATAATCTAATTTTAACATCCATTTCCTTAAACATTGATCTGTCCTGCAACTAATAATCGTGGGCTACACATGCAGACACACGACTGTGTCCACACAGTTAACATACTCAGGTATGCAGACGGGTACACATAAGCGCGCGCAATCATAGATTCCGGGGACAACGTTAATAGACGCTCACATCTTTTACCTGGACAGGTGTTCATTATTCCTGCCGCGAGTAAACAGGGTCTGATTAATGGCCGTGTCAATGGAGATAACGTTTCCGGTTCTTGAGCCGTTAGCCCCGATCGCCGACGACTACTGAACGTTAATATCAATGTACAACAAAAGCTTTAAGTGAGAATAGATAATCCTTGTTTCCTCGCCTTACCTTTTAAAACAGAAAGAAATAAAAGCATTTAAATAACAAAACAAAAAAACAACAAAAAACGTTGCAGCTTTGAAGTCTTTCTTTTCTTTCCATCACGCTTGTTTATTTATACTTTTTCTTCTTGTCGTTTTTCAATGATGCTTTTCGTTATCAATTGTTTCAACTAGCAAGGTGCGCTAATGCTTTCTGGGATAGAACCTATCTTACGTTCGTTAGTATATTTTTCTTATGACCTCATATACAGATTATTCCACAATTTTTTAAATAAAATGATCGGGCACAAATCAAGGAACACAAATGATAGAGTAATGGAAATTATATTTATTGAAAGGTAAAAGGATAACATTTTAGGATCTGAAACCATTTAATCTCAAACATGGACCCAAAATATGAAGAGGCGCCCTAGAATACATGCTCCAGATGTCAGTCGTTAAGTTGAAGGCACTGCTGAATGCGACGGACAAAGTTGTTGACAACGCGTGCACGCTCCTCCTGGGGGGAGGAACCCATTGCCCTACGATCTTCACAAGTGCCATGAGCATCAAATTTCTTGACCAACTTGAAAGTCTGATTCCTGTTTGGAAATGTGTTAAAATTGAACTTCTTTCTTTATCTTGCTTGAACGATATTGAAACACTTAGTTTCCTTATATATTTTCACACAAAAGATCTTCACCGTCTAAGGCAGTGATTGCCAACGTGGTCCAGGTGGACCAACGGTGGTCCACATAGCATTTCTAGTGATCCATAGAAAATTTGTATCCATAAAAAATTGGAGCCATTTATTTCCCTACCACATGAAAGATGGAATCTGGATTTTCGTTTGTTGTGGATGTTTTCGGTAGAAAAAGAAATATATTATATCTCAAAAGAAGAGGAACTATCAGACTTAGACTGAATGACATCATCAAAATTGATTTTGATATCCTGTGTTTATCCTTGTTTACTAAAATAAATTTTAAATTGTAAATAGATTACTTTGTCTTTTCATTGAGTATTTTAGTGTGAAAATTAAACAGCCTAAAAGTAAAAAGAGGAGTGGTCCATTTGAATTTTTTAATAAAAAATGATCCATGGGCTGAAAATATTAAGAACTGGTTTAAGGCATGATTTCGCTATATTGTGTTAAATATCTCAAAATATTAATTATTTCCCAGCAATAATCTAAAAAGAGAGAAAGAATAAAGTCAACAAGGAAGATCTGAGAGGACGTGGCTTTGTTTCTTCAATTATGAAACAGTCTGTATACCATTTTAATAGCGCACTCATAGTGTCGTAAAAAAATAACATAATCTCCACTGAAGCCTTCATAAAATAACAACCCGAGCGGTCAGATATAGTTTTATATGTATTTTTACTTACGTTGCCTCAATAAAATGCTCAAAAGGTACCAGTGGTATGGAGTAGGTATAATATGGTTTATTTGAACGTCTTCAATCACTAGAATTTCCCTTTTGAATTTGTTGGCTACATTTGTTACTGAATAAAGTTTCTTATTTCCTTCATGTTCTTTGAAAAGACATCATCATTCGGTCTTGTGTAGTTTTCAGGTATCTTTGAAGACCGATTGATGTGGTTTTGTAGGACAGTTTTAGCTGAACTAATCCTCTACCTCCTTCGGATCTGGAAACATCTGTACGCGCTTTAGAATGATGCCTACAGCGGAAAGTGAGAAGCCTTTTCTTTTTCACATCAATTCGCTTAATGTCAGCTATTGTTCAATTAAATTATATTGCTCCACAGCGATAGTCAATGTGTTTATGGCTGTCAGTGAACACTCATTGTCACTTTTGCAATGTGAAGGAATACTAGTTGTCACTTCGTCATGTCAACGAATACTCGTTATCATTTTCGTTATGCTTGTTGTAGTAGAGACTTTGTAATCAAAGATGCAACTATAGTAACGCCGTTGAACAATGCTGGTGTCAGACGCCTTCGAATATCACTCGCACTAATAGTACTTGCTCGATAATACTCGCTTGAAAAGTAACCACCGAATAGTAATCCGTATAGTGATACGTATAGAGAAATAGTAAAGTGAATAGTGTAGAGATAGAGGATAGAGTAGAAATAGTGATCCGAATAGTAATAGAGGATAGTGTATAAATAGAGGATAGAATAGAAATAGTGATCTATTAGACACCACACTAATTCCTATATATACATTTTCTTTGCCATCACGTGAGCTACTTATTCAAAATGTGATCGGCTGTGTTTGCTCTATGACGATCTATGTTCAAACTCCAGTGACGGTAGTGACATTTTTTTCCTATATAACATGGCTGATGTTCTATTTCGTGAATTCAACTCGTTATGTAATACCTAATATACACGCCTGTAGTATTCTTTCCTCCTTGATTTAGGCATGCTTTATTCCATCTCCTTCTTTGACTGGTAGGTATTTATAGGTTTTTTTCTTGTTCCAGTTTCTTAAACTCTGTGACAACATCTAGATCTATCGAATGTGTTTCTGCAATTCTTCTTTTCTTGAAGGCTACTTTTGCGCATTTATCTAATCCGAAAACCTTACCGATTTCATCACTGAAACATTTTACACTATTGAGGATACCATTGAACTCGTTGTCGTCTTTGAAAAATAGTTTGATATCATCCATATAGATTAGGAGATTAAATACTTTCTTTTGTTACTTTGCATCCATAGTTATTACTGTTTAGTTCATTCGAAAGAGGGATTAAGGAGAGATAGATCAGAAGTGACGGTAGAGCCTTGGGTGGGATTTAGGTTTAATGTGGTTTTCTATAGCTCCATGCTATATTTAAGGGAGTTTAATTTCACCGAGGTGACTTTGTACATTTGCAAAACCTTAAGGATCCATGACTGTGGCATATTATCGATGGCTTTTCGGTAAGCTGTCCAATTTCTGCTGAGATTTCTACATTTTTCCAGCAATTTTCCGGAATCATTTTATTTATCAGCAGTTGATCTTTGCAGCCATATGAACCTCTTCGTCATCCCTTCTGTTTCTGGGAAAGAATATTGTTTTCACCGAGAAAAGAGTAAGTACAGTTCGTCAGAGGAGAGGTGAACTGATATGTGATCGCCGAATACTATTTGATCAAATGATTCACCCGTCTTTGGTCGGAGATATGTAATACCTTCAAGAATCCATTCAGGAATTTTATTGAGGCTATTAATTAGCGCTGACAAAGTTCGTGCAAGAACTTTATGAACTTATGACAGATGATAGAGTCAAAAGTTGGATACCTTTTCATTTCCTGAGAATTTCCATTTTTGAAATTTTGTTAGAAATTGCCTTACATTATTCTTGGTTATATTTTTCCATTATTATTATTATTATTATTATTATTATTATTATTATTATTATTGTTGTTGTCAGGTTATTATATGCCTTGTCACCGTTAACAGTTAAATTCGTATAAGAGTATATTTTTTTCTTTCTCGTCTCATATCGCAAAAATACTTTTGAATTATGATAATGTTATTTTATTTCGTTAAAAATCGACATTATTATTATTATTATTATTATTATTATTATTATTATTTGTGCATGTTATGGCTCCTGCTTTGTATCTTGTAGAGCCGGGTTCAAAGTATGGCCCTCATAGGAGGATTGTCATTTAATTGCTAGCACTTTTCTAAACGCAGACTAGCTTTTGCAATCTTTGCCGTTTCTTGACATAAGGAAATCAATTGCTATATCTAAGCAATTCCAAGCGTCAATGAATCTGGTATCAAAATAAATTGTAGCCAACCCAACGAATTTTACATAATTCTGGCACTCATGGAAAAACATCTAAGCTAGATTCCAATGCGCCCAACGAAGTACATTCTTCTTAGCCTTCTACGCTAGGATTCCTTTTTCTTTGGTGGACGTCAATTTCTGACACAAAAAAATGAATCTCTTCTATATTTACTTGACAAATAAAAGCGACGCTTGCAACGCAAAGAAAACTTTCCCAACCGTCTAGGCATTTGCTGGTAGCAGCATTATGTCATAGGAAATGTTTTTTCCAGTTCAGTGTGGCAGAAACCTTGCTTAAAACCAATCGGAAAGAACAATATACGGTGATTTTGGACGGAAACTCTGCCTAGCAGCATGGGTTGAAAGATCAGTGAACCTTATAACAGGTCAGCAATCTAAAATAAGAATCTTAGTAAGAAAATATTTCATTAACAATAATGATGATAGTTTAGAGCAGTGATTCGCAAACGGCCTACCGTGTCACATTAGTGTGTCGTACGATTCTCTTAATTATGCCGCGAAATATGGTAACGTTATACCTATATACAGCTATGGAGAGAGTTATTTGCCCCCACTGAATATTTGCATATTTTATAAGGAAATGTGAATATTTAAAAATACTGAATTTACTATAAATAGTTGATTCCATGTTTAGTTTTGAATAATTCCTAAAGTTTTTAGAAGTTTCAATCTGTTATATTCATAGTTATAGATTTTTTCTAAAACTTGGTGCAGTCCAACATTATTCGATCTCCCGGCTTATTGAAATTATCAAATAATATAGCTCTATGTCAATTATAATGTGTTTTTTTTCTTAATATGACATTTAATACAAATACACTTTGAAATTGAAATAGTATTAACCTGATTCTATAACATTCTAAAAGGTAATGAAGAAGACAATATATGTGTGCTACGTATCGTGATATCTCATTCGTTCTGCTACAATGGCTGAACCTGACAAAAAGCTCCGAATGATGATAGCTGATGCGTACGGTTAAGGCGATGGATATACAATACTTCCCAAGCGTTTAAATGTCCCTAGATCGGCAATTCGTAGCATTATGAAGATATACAACGAGACACATTGCATTGGGAATAAATTAAGGACTGGCAGAAAGCGGTTAACTGAGAGAATGTTTAAATGACATCCATTAGACATGGCACGTGGAACGAGAACAGTCTACCACAGCGAGCGAAATAAACGGTTCAGTTCGACATTCCAAGCTCCTTTCCGTCGTTGTAGAAGAAGGCCGGAGCGTACAACGACAGAAACTTTGTGATAAATATGGCAACAAAGATGAAGAAAATAGTCCGAATAATATAAATAGTGTACATAGTAACTCATATCAGATGAGCTTCTTTAAATGGTTGGCAGATCAGGGATTAGGAGAGATAGCAAAACAACAAAATTTACTAAGA